ACGCAACATAACATAGTCCTTTTTAAGAAGACCAGGAAAGATTAATAAGGAACAATAAAGAAGTATAAATAAAATGCAGGAATTAATAAATTGTAAAAGAAGCAGTTGAGTTATACCAGAAAGCCTCAATTTCTTTACGTAATAAGTTAAACGAAAAATTTTTTTACAAGTCAATAAAATATGGGACGACCAACAAAGGTCAGAAGTAAAACGCAACCCAAGATAGTTCACACTCGATTTACTTTCTGTAGAAATACCACCAATGCAACAGATGTCATGAGACTTAAGGAGCTCACACAAGTCTCGTTTGCGCCTGAGACTGAAATTAACAGTCTGACATTTACAATGTGTTTATCTGGAGACAATTTGAGTGAAACCATTAGCCAACTACAGACAAGAATCGATTTAATTTAGAGCAATCTAAGTGAGAGTTAACTAGAATAGACACCATCAGGTTATCAGAATACTTGATAAAATTAATTTCAACAGAATAAGGTAAATCGTGTAAAAAGAACGAAAACAGAAAAGGAGAAAGTACAGCATACCAGCTTCGGTAAGCAATGAAGACCAGCGCATCTCTTTATGAATAGTGTACTGTTTCCTTTCAGAAAAATAAGAATGCAGCCAACCCATGACTCAGTGTGAGCTATGGCAAGCTTATTTAACAACAGTGGTCTAGGAACAGAGTCAAAGGCTGATGAGTAATCCAAAACGGCACAACGGACATACTTAACACCTTTGTCGAGACTAGAAACAATATTATGATGCAAGACAGTAGCTGCATCTAAAGTACTCCTCCGGTGTTTGTAAGCAAACTGTTTTGGATCTTTGAAAGCCATCAATGAAGGCTCAATCACAAGCAGAAGTAACTTCTCCATTGTCTTCAGAAAAGGGGAAGTTATAGAGATGGGTCGAAAAGTACCATCTGATCCAGAAGATGGCTTAGGCACAGGTACAATTTTGATCTGCTTCCAAGCAGTGGGTATTATGTTTTTAGAGAGCGATACATTGAAGATATCTGTAAGTGGATGACACAAAATAACTGCACATTTTCTAAATATGATACTAGAAACACCATCAGGACCTAAGCTTTGGGAGGGATTCAAAGACTTTAGACATTTAAATACACCATTTGTATTGAAACCTGGAAAGCAGCTGTCCACTTGATTTTGCACATTAGGAAGGGTGAAATTAGCTTGCCGACGTTTAACGCGCAGACATCCGACCGAGTTTGTGTTGTCATCTGTTTTTTACCAGTAAGCTCTTTAAATAATTTCCATATATTGGAAGAGTTCTTAAACGATAAGAACTTCTCGTTGTATATAGTATTCAGACGTTGTATTTCAGACTTAATTAGGCAGTTAAGACTTTTAACGCCAGGGTGATCTCTCACCTTATACAATCTTTCCTTTTCTCTCCGAAGCCTCTTGAGATGAGGAGAGGAAAGTCTGTCAAATCTCATGTAAATTGTTTTAGTAGGGCAGCAGATATCGAGACAGAAACTGAGATAGCTTGTGATATTGGTAATAGTGTTGTCTAAAACTTCACCAGCAAATATATCCCAGTCCGTTTCTATAAGCATGCTTCTCAAAAGTAATATATTTTCTTGTGAATAGCATCTGTATTGAACTTTCCTTGAAAGGTATGCAAAAGCTTTCTTGTATAATTTTCCGTACACTTTAGGCAAAACACGAACGATTCAGTGGTCGGAGTTAAGCAGTGGAGCCCGTTTACGGGCTTCATATATGCCAGGTTCATTTGTAAATGCAAAGTCTAAGGTGTTGTCAAGACGAGTGGAAAAGTTAACCATATTTTTATGACCCAATGATAATAGAAAACTGTGGTCACATGAGTTAAAATCACCACAGACAATAGACAAGGAGTTTCCCAGAACCCGGGCAGCAAATTCAGTGACTACACTAATTAGTTGTCCAAACCTCGATAGGTGGAGTGAAACTTAAACACGTGACCCATTTAGTTGGGAATCAAGTGCCTAGACCAATGGGTGCAGCCCAGATATTATGGTGTCGGTGGTAGCACAGTCAAACCTAAGTCTAAAACTCTTAAAAATGCTGTAAGCAGATGACCTACAGGCTCTGTGGACACAAAAACTAGTTCCTTTTCTCTTTTAGTTACCTTGAGAAAACAACAACCATCTATGCAGCACCAACCGACCATATGCTTCCAGAAGCATACAAAAACCATCCAACCGTAACCTACTTTCCTTATCTTTGTCACCTCCCTTGACTTTCCTCCTGATGCCAATATCAAGCCCCTTACAATTTCCTTGCCCCATCAAATCTGCAACTATTGCGAATAGTCCAAGTCAGAAAAAAACGCCACTCCTAGTTTCTTAAAACCACGCTGCCAATTTCATTAGAGCTAGAAAAGTTCTAAACCCTTAGGTAAAGACAACAGATTTCACCAAAACTCAGAAATTCTGAATCATGGATGTATGCTGTTTCTAAGATGCCCATACAAGAACTAAGTCTGGCTATTTAACTGACTTTATACCTTGCCAGCACCGTGAATCTACCAATATCCGGAGATTCAATTGTTAGGCATTATGCGTACGAATTACTAAGCTATAGAGGAGAAAGCGAACTCCTCGAGTGGTATCAATCAATTGCCGTCTATGTGCTGTTCCACTGAATGGATTTCTAAAAACTAGGAAGGATCTTGGCACTTGTCGATGTTTATCTGTACGACCCGACTATGCTTTTATCAACTGCAGTTCAGGCGATACAGAGAATGAGTCCTACAAAAAGTTGACAATTTTACTACATAAAGCAAAACGTTCAGATATAGTCATATTAGCGGGTGGCTTAAACGCCTAAATAGGAAAGCTGAACCAGTTGGAGAGGTATCTTACCTACACCGGCGAGCAGACGACAGAGACCTTCTGTTGTAATTTTCTGACGACCATTTATTTCTAGTCAGCACAAACTTTAAATATAAGGAGTGACAACTCCTCACCTGGAGTCCGCCAACACCAAGCTAACTGTGGACAGAGACATGATCATCGTTGGAAGTGTGCCATTCCCCCTTAAGTATGTGCCTAAACTCAGAACGTGTTAATACAAGCAAGTGTATATTTGTGGAACACATAAACGTCAAGTGTGTATTTAGAGAAGAGATAGCTAAGCATTTATCTGAACAAAGCAGCAATCCTCCTTCTGACGAGATGTACCCCAATATTCAGATTACTGCAGAAACTATGATAAGGACAGCTAATAACTTACAAACCAAAGTTTACAAAAGCCAGTGGAATTCTGCAACCTTATCCGAAATGATGGACATGAAAAGACTGATTCCGGCTGACTCTGACCACAACGAGAAGCGAAAGCAACTAAGAAGAAACTTCATGAATAGTCTTGATAATAATAACGAGCAGTAGTGAGTGACAAAAGAGAAAGAGATGACATTCGCATCAGGTAGTACATGGTAACGACTTAGGCTTAGTAAGGAAACTGAGGAAAAGATGATTAGTGAGACCGCAAAAAAGGACTGGTTCATGACGTCTCAAAACAAACGGCTGAAACCTTAGACAGAGCACTATGTAAAGAAGTTCAACTGGCCCACAGCAACGATTTAGTTGCCAAGCATCCAGCCCGAGCGTGAGTGAAATGTAGATATCAGTCCTCAAACTAACCTCGAAGTTGAAAAAGCTGTTTTTAATCTGAAAAGATCCAAGGCAGCAGAACGTGCCGGCATGCCAGCTGAAGTGATAAGGATGGAAGTACGAAACTACTAATGTAAGATGATAGAAGCACTACACGAATCAAACGTAGTTACACCAAACTGGTCTCTATTGCCAATCGTTTCTAGTTTATAAGAAAAAGGAGAAGTTCTCATGTGACAAACACAAGGAGATCAGTTTCACTAGCATCGTATCGAAGGATTCTAGAGATGACGTTTAACTGGAGATAGAGAGAAACGAATTCGAAAAAAGGTAGGCAGATTTCAAACCTCCTTCGACGGTACACCAGTCGATTTTCCGCCCTTTTACAAATTCTGAAATACAGACATACTTACCGGCGATCGACACTTGGCGTATTTCCTGACCTGAAGACGGCATTCAACTAAGTCAGCCATGAGATGTTGTGCGGAAGTCTGACAGTGAAGAAAGTAACGAACATATATATAGTGAAAATCAAAGCTTTCTACTGGAACTCATCCAGTCATGTAGGGTTATATGGGTAGTGGTGTTTATCAGGAATGACCGGTATAACCGTTTCTATTTAACTTCATTATAAACGTGCTAATGAATATAAACTTAGGTACCTCCAACTTTACCTACTCTCTGGATGGCATCCGGTTGACTTGCAGTGCGAAGACGAAATTGTCATGTCAGACAAATATGTTTACAAAATGAAGCGTTTTCAGAACATTGAACAAAAACCTTTGTATTTGGTGCACGTTTTATGCCCGCCCGTCAAGTAAAAGATGATACTTCAAGACTGGTCAGAAGTCAAGCTAAGCCTTAGGGAGTGAAGCTGTAGAATGTGTTGACTACTTCACTTACTTGAAAAGTTGCAACGTCTATAATGAGTTGCTTGCTGACGAAATCTCAGCTCAGATACAAAAGGCGTGCAGGGTATTTGCTAGCATACTTCGTGTCTCTGGAGCCGTCGAGATATTCAACTATTTATTAAAGGAACAAACATACTGAACCGTAGTCCACTCTGTCCCCTTATACTGCTCAGACACTCACGTTGAAAGCGGAAGGTACTATGAATTTCAATGGTAAGTATGGTTCATAGCTTAGTGAATAAACCTGAATCAAATTGTTGTTGTAGAGCATTGGTGTGATACTCTAATCTTCCTTAAAACCAGCCAAGTTTATGTAACACAGTTAAATAACTCTAAGCTACTGGTTTGTGCAATGTTGATGTTAACGAATTAACGACACTCCACTAATAAAAATGGATTCAGGAGAGTCTTCTAGCACCGAAAATCAAAGCCTTCGCAGAAACTATTAAAAATACAAAATAACTAACCTTGGATAATCTGACAGAATGCTTCTTCCACATTAGTGGAATCCAAGGCTGAAGTTTCAATAAAGGAAAGTCCATTCCGTACAGCAAACTCTTCTGCTTTTTCCGTCGTTATAGCTCGAAGATGTCTAAGATCACACTTATTGCCAACCAATAAGACAACAATACTGTCTGCTACATGATCCCTTAACTCGCGTAACCATCGTTCCACATTGGAATAAGTTGCTGGTTTGGAAACATCGTATACCAGCAGTGCACCAACGGCACCACGATAATAACTGGGGGGAGGAGGAGTTTTAAAAATGCATAACATGAGCAAACTTCAATTAGGAAAATATTCTGTGAATACATTTAGTGTTTGGTTCCCATGGTTGAGGAATGTAAATAGTTTATCCAGTGAAATTAACCTAGATATAATGGAGAACACAGTAAAATATCTCGCATAACTACCACACATAACCTGGTTACTGAGACTTCAAATACTCCCTAAAAAACACAGATTTTTCAAAAACTACCATAAGCAAACATTGACCTGACTACCGAATATTCATCTACTTAATAGGCGATATGAATGATATTAAAATGACGAAAGAAATATAAGGCCTGAAACAGTTGAGTTCTAGTTCAAATTGCAACATTTCATAGCAACATCGTAGAGGGAAAGAGAATAGCGAAAAGGAAACCTAAGGAAGACAAAATGCCGGCTGTAATGAGAGGAAATAAAACAAGTTAGAGAGAAGTGAATTAAGAAGAATGCAAATGTATAGAAATAAACAGACAGTTAAAATCAACGTAGAACCTCCTATACAGGTGCGTCATCATTAATATCCACATAGGACCAGGGAATACTGAGTAACGCGCAAAGTTGTCACACCTCATCTCATATCAGCATATCAAGTAACAAGGCAATAAAATGGAAGATGAAGAAATATAAACCGGTCGAAAGAAGCAAAAAGTAGTTAAAGAGAGGAAGGAGGAATGAGATGATGAGGTTAACTACACCGGTTATTATTATTATTATTTGTCCCTTGGGTTTCTAGTGGAACACAGGGCTTCACTAGCACGTCGCCATTCCACTCTGTTCTTTGCAGTCTTTTTAATCTAGCTCTACGACTGCCCATAACATTTTATTTCTTCTTCACACGATCTCCTCCATGTTACCCTCGCCTCACACACCCAATTCGTCGTTTAACATTTGGGTTCCACTACACGGCCTGGCCTGGTGCATTATGTCCCCAAACCGTCTTCTCAGCGTATGCCCAATCCAATCCATCTCTACTCTCTTCTGCAAATTTGTTGGGCGAAAGCTTCTCGATTGGTTTGTTGCCGGAGTGAGTTCCTTGTTCATTTTTTCTGGCCAATTGATCCTCAGTAGCGAGTGAGCGTAGGCGGCAGCTGTTGATGAATGTCTGCAGTTTGTTGGAAATGCTTTTCGATAATGCGTGCATGCATCTGCACCACTCACATCGATTACTAGCCACACCAACAACTTAAGTTTCAAACCACTGCCTTCTTTCGTCTCACGCATCCCACCCCAACCGGTCAGTCTGCATTCCCCCCCCCCTCCCACCACCATCACCATCACATGGCTTACACCAACAGTCAACGACTTCATACATTCATCCTATGTTTTAGTCTGGCCACACACACACACACACACACACACACACACACACACACACACACAGCCTCTTTCCACACTCAACCTACTTCGGTCAACATTGTGAGACGAGGAAGAGAGTGACCAGTCACACGTAACACATGTCCCACCTACCCATCTCATATAATGAACGTTCACAACCCCATCAACTATCTCACGCCTCTCTCCCTTAAAAACTCTACGTCCGACTTCTGCGTTACTCACATGATGACACCACTAAACACCCCTACCCTACCCCATGTTACCAAAACAATGCTGGTCAAACACATCAGGTATTCTCTTCTCATGTCTTCTACCTTTAATACCTATACTTCACAGCCATGCAGTAGAACAAACTGGGCTGCCACACATCGCCTGAATTGACAAAAGCCAATCCAGCCTCTTGTATCCATCCACAGATTTCATCGGCCACTGACCTACACACCACGGCTCATACAAATTCTCACATAACTGAAGTCTTCAACTCACTCAACCACTTCACTCTCCTTTGTTAGCCACAACACCGTTGAAGACCAGTCACTGAGCAACAACTCCCATCTCACTGGTGAAAAACTCATTCCAAACATTCCAAAACTACAACTCAAGGTGTCCAGAAGACTCTGCATCTTGTCAGCATCTTCACCTAACACGACTGACTATGTCATCTGCGTATTCTGGGTCAAACAAAATTCTCCTGTGACCAGGTCAACCCCTGTGTAGTCAGATGTCGAGAGGGAGACCTCCATAAGAATATTTGTGATAAGATTGAATAGGAAAGGAGAGAGTGGACATCCTTGATGGACACCTCTCGACGTACACAACTTACCCGATATCTCACCACAGTCTTTAATACAGCCATCCTGGAAACATCCATACCGTTTAAGCTCTCAACCTTCAACGTTCGCACGATGATGCAGATCGGACAACAGGTAGGTTTGGCTAGGATTCTGGAAAGGCTCACTATTGATGTGTGCTGCATCTCAGAGACCCGCATACAGTCTCCCAGGGAAGTGCTTTGAATTAGTTCCCCATCTGTCAGCTGAAAAGGCATATTTCATGTGCGCCATTCCGAGGACCCAGTGCCACTGGCAACTGGTTTTGCTAGTGTCGGTGTCGCACTAGACGGTCCAGTGACCGGCAAGAGAAACGATGTCTTTTTGTTATCTTTACCTGTGCTTCGACGGATTTCAGCCCGGATGCAACAAAGGAGGAATTTTACCATCGACTGGGTGACCTCAACCAAGGGTGCTTGACAGATATCGTAATGTTAGCTGGTACTTGAATGCACAGGGCAGGAGTCTAGGTTTATAGGAAAGTCATTTAGTTAGCTAATGAGGACCAGTTGGCAGCATGTCAGATAATGGGGATTGTCTTCTGCAGCTTTGCGTGGATCACAACCTATTTCTAGTCAGGACTAACTTACGGCACAGCAATCACTTTTGTGCTACTTGGTGTCCTCCCTCTGCCACTCAAGACTGAACTCAACTAGATCATATTGCAATCAGCTACCGACAACGTGGGTGCATACAGGATTGCAGCTCCATATGGAGTATTTGTCTGGACTCTGATCATGCTTTAGTGTGTGCTAAGTTCGTCTTGGGGTTTAGTGGTCATCAAAATCTTGGTCCAAAAAATGTCGATGCAAGCAAATTAGTTGAAACTAATAGTTTAGCTAAATACCGATCCGAGCTAGATTTAAGGCTAACTACCAATCCTCCAGAAAGTGTAGACGATCACTGGATGCAGTTGAAATGGCAAGTAAAGCCACTTGCCACTTAGTAGAAGGTCCTGCTAATCAACACAGGGTCTCTTCGAGCTCCCTGCAACTTCCTGATGCGTGTCGGACCAATCCGGCGGATACCGAGTACAATGATTTGCATAAGTCTCTTACGCGAAAGATCACACAACGCCTACGCAAGGGCCGTGAGGCTTGGTGGTCAGAACGCGCGAGTGAGATGGAAGCAGCAGCTGCACTTGGCAATAGTCGGAAGCTGTTCCACCTCATTCGAGCCGCTGGCAGCAAGAAGCCTGGTCTCAGTGAGACGGTCTATGAGGCAGATAATACGCTGATAAAAAAAATCTTCTTTGGCGGAATACTTCGAAATGCAGTTTAGTTGGCCTACGTCTCCTGTATATTCAGTTTTAGTGTATCGCGCTCCACGGTCAGTTAACACTGACCCACCTAATGAAGCGGAGGTCCATAAGGAGCTCCAAGTTCTGAAATGCTACAAGGCAACCGGTTTAGACAACTTACCCCCAGCTTTTTTTAAGGAAGGAGGAATGAATCTGATCAGGGAACTGATTAGGCTGTTTGAGAAGGTACAGAGGATTGAGAGCGTTCCATTACTCTGGAATAAGGCCATCATTATGCCCATCTTTAAAAAGGGTCTACGTAATGTATGTGATAGTCATCGGGGTACTAGTCTGTTATCAAGTTGAGTCGAAAACATTGGCTTTGAAGACTGCAAAACGCGTAAGGAAATTATTCGAGAGGAGCAGGCTGGGTCTTGTTCAGGTCGCGGAAGCATTGATCATGTGTTTACTCTCCACCAGATGCTTGAACATCGCCATGCATATTGCCGATCAACAATAGCTGTGTTTCGTGACATTAGGGCTGTCTTCGATTTGTTGGACAGAGCTGTACTCTAGAATTTTCTGTTGGAGAGGGGCGTGTGTGAGAAATTCTTTAACATCTTGGAATCCCTATATAATAATACTTCAGAGAGAGTGAGGACATACAACTACCTGCCTCCATTGTTCCAAACCAGCAGTGGGGTTAAGCAAGGTTGCCCGAATTTCCCCTTCCTCTTTAACTTTGTCATCGATGACATTTTTGAGGCAACTCTGACGGAAGTGCGTGGTGGTGGTTTAGATCTACTACCCGGAGAACGGCTAATCGACCTTGAATATACAGACGACATCGTCTTACTGTATGATAACACATAGGCCACTCAAACCGCACTTAATCTGTTGTCGATTAATGTCCGTAAGTATGGTAGGTGCTATGCACCATTAAAGTGCAAAGTACTTTTGCAAGATTGGAAGGAACCTGTGCCTGCAATCACCCTCGGTGGTGAGGCGTTGCAAGTAGTCAAAAAGCTGTTCGTGTACATGGGTAGTTGCGTGTGCTGGTGGTGTATAATGAAATTTCCAACCACATATTAAAAGCGGGTGGAAAACGTCAATCTGGGCCACTTTTGGAGCCTTCGCCACGTTAGTCTGATAGCAAAGGGTTGGATTTACAACGCTTTGGTGTGAGTTCTGGTCTACGCCTAAGAAACCTGGTTTCTCCAAGCTGAGGATGTGCGACGGGCCTGTATGTTCGATCATCGTTGTCCCCGTAGGACTCTTCGTACCCGGTGACAACATTATGTAAGTAATTCTGGGTTACGACAGCGTGTTTGGATACGGTGGAGATCATCATCCAATAAGTAAAGTCATCTAGAAACACCGGCTTCGGTGGCCTGCACACGTGTTACGCATATCGTCCCAACGGCTTCCACGCCGTTCATTGTTTGCTAGCCCTGGAACTGGATAGAAGGAGCGGAGACGTGGTCAATGTTTGGCGTGGCGCCGTTGAATAAAGGATAGTCGTTTCGGGTTAGCATCTGTTGGTGTATCACGACTCCCTGGGTGGGG